TCAAAATGATAAATTTATCACTTTATCAAGTTTGTCAAGAGTTTATCGCTTTTGATGACGGCCCTACTGTGAACAGCGAGATAATGAGAGAATGCGCCATGAACGAAAGACACAAGATCACGTATGAACAAGAGAGTGGAAAAAGTCGAAGCACATGAGTCAGTTGTGAGTCAGCAAGTTGTCAAGTCAAGTTGTAAAACAGAGTTCAATTGTATAAGCAAGTTTTATAAAGTGCTTTAATTACCTTAACAAGTATTGTTAATTGTTGTTATTGCATAAACAAGTATAGTGAAGTGTTTGTTGTACAATAAAGACAATTGTACTGTAGTTTGGTCATCTTGAGCGCTTGTTTAACAATCCAGCGATACGAACTGAGAGGATTTTGGAAAATCTGTCAAATAAACTAGGATAATCTAAGAATGTTCGACATTGCATCGATTATTCTGAATATCGATTTTTTATGGTGCGATAATCGATTTTTTGAATCGATATTCCTAGATTAAGCGGTATGTGGTTAGACCTTAAGTGATTTTGTGTTTCTATCGTAAGGTATACCTGTAAGGGCCCTTTCACACAGTCAGTATTTATTGACGTGATCCAAGTATCGCGATATTTATTGGCGGTGTAGCATACAATATTGATGGATCGTGATCCATATCGCAAAATTTCTAAAAATTTTGAAATCTGGATCGCAATACCGTCAATAAATATTGATCGACTAGCACTTTCAAAACGCGATCCATACATTTCGTCAGTATATCTTTTACTCTCATAATGCGAACATCGAAAACGTATTCGCTATGCTTTCGTTCTCGTTGCTTAAAACCTTTCCTAACATGGGAAATTTTAAAATAATTGTGGAATGCATTATCTGCAAATTATTCGTCCAAAATAAAAATATTTCCTTGCATCATAACAAGCGTTCAGCACAAAAATTATGCAAATACTGACGCGATAAATATTAAGCATGTAGCATTCGTGTGCGATCCATCAATTCATCAATATGGATCGCGATCCAAATATCGTGATAATTACTGACCGTGTGACAGAGCCCTAAGAATGCTTGTCAGAAAAATAACATAAAATAAAGGCACTTTGAATCGAATAGCGGAGCCGTGAAGTCATTTGTAATCTAAGAATATTTTGGTAAACGTCGAGTACGTGCACATCTATAATTTGGAGCACCTGTACATCTATCGTCTTGGAGTACGTGCACATTTACCCACTTGGAGCAGCAAAGTAAGGGGATATTTTAAAGACCAAAGGTGCGTGCATATTTCAATACTTTACCCACATTATCGAAATTAAAGTTGAAATTTATATTTCATCTACAAAAGAATGTATGGGAAAATACTAAATAGGATTAGCCAGCAGCTTGTGTGATTTATTTAGCTCTTAAGTTTGACAAACCGCTTGCATGGTGTATATGGCTCTTAACTCGTTGCCACCGTTATACTATGTCTTCATTGTGAGATTTAATGAAGATTTAGCCCTCTGACGAGATTTAACGTTAAATCTTTTGAGATTTACCATATAAAATTAAATCTCGAAAAGCAGTAGATTTAAGTTAAATCTTCGTCAAATCTTCAATAATATTGATCAATAAGTACAATTTGTTGGATGTGGCAACCACAAATTCACATGCCATAAGTCAAATGACATTTGTGTTTTCAATATACAGTTGAGGACATTGAAATCTAGCCTATCATAAAAACATGAATTTTCGTATTTTTAGGGATTTTTATATTTTTGTTAGTTTGGGAGGAAAATTAGTAATACATATTTACATAACTAATAAATTAAGAAAATATTATTTTAAAAACTAAAAATTTAGAAGAAATGTTTTATAGTAATATCATGCAGAGTCTTCTCCGCTTTCTATAAAACATTTACGCGCTGCGACAAAAAATTTATAAATTTCGGTAATGGTTCTGCTTCGATAACATTGCACCGAACATCCTCTAGAACTCAGTTCGTATTCATGATATGCCAAAGGCCCACGATTGGATTTTCGGTTCCCTCCTATGAATAAGAGAGTTCTACAAAAATTTTTCTTTCCGCAAATGTTTTCTACCGTTTTGATAATTTTTCTTAAATTCGGGAAAATGATTCGGAATATGGTACCATTCTTTACACTTTCCAAACTATATATTATACATACATATTTACCACGAATAAGAAGCCAATAATATTCACAATTCATATAATGAAATTCCGCTTGGTACCTTCCTTTTATCTGTCTGTATATCAATGTCCGCAACTGTATTTATAAAATCATACATAAGCAAACGTCAAATATTTAAAAATGTGAACGTCAAACATATCTCGTTGTGGTAATAGAGACGGTTGTGATTTAGCAACTGGATTTATCAACTCTTAATGGATAAATCTCTCAATGGAGACATAGTATTAGATTTATTGTCTTGGCCTATCTTCTTTAACAATACAGTCGACCGGCATTTCATTTTATTCCTCAGTAAATATATAAGATGGAAATAACACAATTAGTTGAGTTGATAGGCAGGTCTAATATTCTATTCAATTGGGAGTAGGATTTTCAATATCGATTTTCCCGATATCGATGTTGTTCAACCTGTTATATCGCCATGTCTGCTTTATCCCTGCAAAAAACGACTTACCATATCGAAAAAAACTATCGATTGTACGCTCGCATACATATGTACATACATACATACACCAAAGAAAATTTTACTTCATTGTTAGCCAAGGCGCATCCATACAAGGTGGTGTTGATTGCATATAAGTAAAAGTCCCGTGTATTTTGTTATTGCTTTTTGGTACAGGAGGATGTCAAAACGAAAGGGAATAGGAGATAATTTTCATCATTTTCTTTTGTTGACATCCTAAAGTTGCGCCACTTCGTCTTGGATGACATTCTCCTGTACTAGTGTAGAGACAAAAATTTGATGCGCCTTGATTGTTAGCTGTGGTGCAAAATAGAGAAGAAGTCCGTGAATTTAAAGAAAGAATTAATAAAAATCAGTGTATTCTATTTGTATATAAAAAAATGAGCAAAAAACCTCTTTTAGCGCTATGTGGATAGAGAAGAAAAAAATTGAGGCCAGTGTGCTTAGGCCGACTGTGGAGTCAGTGACTACAGTGCTGAAATACAGTGCAACGCCAACGTGGGACTCCAGCAGAACCTAAGAATGGAGGTAGAAAGACCAAACGGCGCTGAGGCATTTGTTTTTAGCGACGAAAATTCAGACCCCGATTAAAAATGAGAACAATTGTCTGAGCTCAGAAGCTCTGAAAAAGCTTGCGAAATTAAATTAATATTCGACAATATATTTTTACCAATAAAACAAACATAAACTAAATCGAATTGTATTTTTTAATTTCGTTTCATGTATTTTTGAACATTTCGCTGTCATCTATTCACTAATTTATCAATTATCTAGAGGCCAGAAAAATCACCAATTATCGCGATATTTTCCCAATAGTTTCATCGCTAAACTCACTTGTACATCACCAACTAGATGACATGTGTGAGCGAGTGAACATACTGTAAGGCAATTGCGTCCATGTGTGTGCAAGAAAGGGATGCACTATCACACGCCCGGAAAAGTGGTCACTTTTTTCCCCAAGCCCATACAAAACTAACCCCTAAACTGACGAAAAGGGTTAGTCAGTTTTCCCACTAATTTAACCGATAATCATTGGTCAGGCTACTTGCATTCTTGTAAGAATGTATCGATACACGAAAAATATTGGATCTAAAGTATCGATACCTACTCGTATAGGTACTTTTGGCTGTGAAGTATTCCGTATGAGCTGGATTAAATAGACATTTTTAAGTAATAAATTAATCATCCTCGGCGAATTCTAAACCCTGAATAATAGAAGTTTATAAGTTAACAAAAATTAACGGATTTTATATGGTGAGTTCTTAGAAAGCTTAAATTTCGATACGAAATATCTGGGCTTGGCTACGTTGAACATTTTAGTTTTTTCATAGAGCCAGTCTCCACCACCTTTAACACTGTCCGATAATGTTTTCAGCGCGAAGAATAATAGAGTTACTCTGTACGTTGGGCTATGTATACGCCGCACAGTGTTCCATTTTTGAAAAAAAATTACAAAATCAAACGAGAAGAGATAACGAAATAACTGTAACGATGTTTAGAAGCTTTTGAGATAGGATATCAGGAAAAATAGTCTCGGGTGGTAGAATAATTACCTTTACATTTATAATGACTTTCAAAAATAGATAGTTTAAACTTTTCCTTGTTTTTTGCCTGAAACTAGTACTCAATAAAGATTTAAAATGTTTTCACCCCATATTTCTTTGGAATTTTATTCTTTTGACTTAAGTACAGCTTAAAAAATTTTTTGAATAGATTTTTTGGTATTTTGCCCCCACGACATGGATTCCCTGATGGAAGAAATCAAAAGTATCCATTAAAAAAGTTCATTTCATACTGGTTTCAGGAAAAAATTTACGTCTTAAATATTTGAAGGTCGCTGGCGTTTAAAAAGCCATAAAGCAGTGGAGGAAAAAATTCCGAAAGAAATTCGCCTTTATATCGGGTTTCGATACGACATTTTTTTCGATACCTACTCCGTACTTCGTTCAAAAGTATCGATGCCAAAATTACTTGGTATCGAACGAAAAGTATCTAGTATGTATTTCTATTTACTCGTTTCGTTTCATTCCTAATTACACCTGTTTTGGTTTGACGCCGCCGAAGACTCGGCAACACTGTTTACGTAATAGATTTATTAGTTTGTAATAGATTTAATTGGGGGAGGGCAAAAGTATTCAGAAGTTTGTCATCACCGCGGCAGTGCGTTGTGAATTCTGTGTGTTATTTTTGATTTGTTTTACGATTAATTTTATTTATATTAGTTAACATTTTGTTGCAAATAATGTTAGAAAAGTGATCAAGTGGACGAATAAAATACTACGCGCTACGTAAGGTAAGTGAAAACGGTTAGAAAATGCGAAAAATTAGTAGCTCTCTTGACAACGCCCGGACGAAGCGAGGCTTGGCAAATACCTTTGCTTCGTTGTTGCTGTAAGTAAAAGCTGTTGTTGTTGGTGCATGGGCGTTGACCAAAAAGTAAGAAATTGTAAAACATTGTTATGGCTAAAACGCTAAATATGTAGTTACGAGCAGTTAAATATTTAAAACGAGTCTACCTGTTCCCGAAATTCCAATTAGAAAGCTGAATAATTCGGAGCAGGTGTCAGCAATCTTTACAAACAACTAGGACTTCATAGAATACATACCTACAAACATACATATGTACGTGCATACACTTTATTCATGGCTTCAGTTATTACAAACAGTTGCTTTTTACATATATTTTTGGAATTATCCCTGGGTCTTACATTAAACGGAACCGAAAAATGGCTTGCAAATTGCATTTCTTCCACTTCACCTAACAGCCAACCAGTTTGCTAATTATTCTTTGGCCCCTGACCATGCCCCCTTCATTTAATTAATTCATAGTATGATTCACGTAAAAGGGGTGAAAAATATGCGCTGTGTTTATTTATGCATATGCCATGTATGTAAATATGCTATTTCGTGAATGAAAAGTACTACATGTACTGTGCTGCATTACTGGTCAGTATGTGCAGTATTACATACATACTTATGAATATTCAGAGCGATCGCTCCAGTGCGCACCCAGCGGCATAGCAGACGTTATTTTCCTTACCATTTTTCATGCTGAATATTCTGCCTATACAACAGTTACCAACTGGCACAGGTAGATAAGTGCAATGGTGCATATGGAAAGCATATCGTTTAAAGTACAAAACCGCTTATAGTCATTCTGCAAAACAACGTAACTGACATTTGCTGCCAAAAATTGGATTTGCTCACACAAGCTCTTGGCTCAATTTTTATCCATTCGTCCTGAAATATACTAGCCAAAAATGCGATTGCTTCATAAAAAAAGAGAACCATTTTTAAATATGAGTATTTTTGCTCTAGAAAATAATTTATGCAAACCCACATACGCGGTTTTGTACTTTAAACGACGATATGTATTTATGTACGTACACATCTTTGTAAATATGTATTTACATTTTATTAACCGACTTCCAAAAAAGGAGGTTATCAGTTCGTCGGAATATTTTTTTTTATGTATGTTACCGCATAACCACGTCAACCGATTTCGATAATTCTTTTTGCATCGGAAAGGTAATGTCTCAGAGGTGGTCCCATACTACTCTGGTTAAGATGCGGTCAGTGGATCATGAGATATACATATATATATATTTTTTTTTTTATATGAGAATTGAAGTCGGTTTTTTTTGCTAAAAATTACTTGTTAATGTATGTTACCGCAGGTGGTCCCATACTAATTTGCTTTAAGTCCGATCATTGGACCAATCTTAAATTTTTATATGAGAATTCGAGTCGGTTTTATTTTTTGCTTAAAAATTACTTGTTTATATTTTATTCATATCTGAATGGAAGCGTGTATGGTTGCGGGAACAACATCTACATAGTTGCTATTAGATAGCATGTTGTCGTTATATATTTTGAAACATGGCTTGGGATCCATTATCATCACACATTTCCTAAATGCCTACATGTGCACTTATTTTGCATTAAATAAATGTTTCAGTAGGTCAGTTCTTAGGAAATTAAAAATTTTGTAATTTTTATCTCTGATAACCCAAAGGTAGTTTTTTGATCGGTCATCAATAAAATATGGCATGTACAAATGAGTTTCAATAAACATTTTAAATTGCAATAACACATATTTAATATAAACCTTATCAAATACTTCAAAGATGTATGATTTTTTATAAAATAAAAAAAGGCCTTCTGAAGTATGTCCTATAAAAACTCTTTTGGAAGGCCTTCCATGGGTAGCGAAAGAAGAAGCCCTTCAATTTGTGCCACTAAATACAAAAAAGAAAGGAGATAGGAATATAGAGTGGAAAGCCTGTTGACTCTCAGGAAGGCCTTACGGAAGGGCTTTTAACTCCTGAAATTATCTACTGGGTAATTTTAACAAATTTACTTATAGGTACTTTAAAATAGATAAGTTGACAGCCCTACAAGTCATTCTAAAATTCATGGATTTCTATGTTATAAAAGCCTGAACACAAAGAAAACCCGGCACTACACATTGAATGTTTGCGGGCCTTCGCAATTTTGTTTAGTCTACGCATGTTTGTTTATAGCGCATATGTATGTAATATTTACCCAACAAGCAAAATAAACTTAAAGAAAGTTTTTTTTAAGTTTTCAATTATAAACATTCAAGCTTACAAAACGTTGATTTTTTGTTTATAAAACGCTTGAAAGTAAGCGTAATATAATCGAAAAGGAACATTGGTTATAAGCGTAGAAATATAAACTTGTAATAAATGTTCAAAAGAAAGCTTTGTATAAGCGTAAAAGTGTAAACTTATAATAAAGGTTCAAAAAAAGTTTTTTATAAGCGTATCAATATAAACTTACTAAAAATTTTCAAAAGAAAGCTTTTTATAAACATTTTTATAACCCTTTATTTAAAGATATTTCATTAAAAACTGATACATAGATTGCTTAACATCTAGAAACTAAACGAAAAGCGAATTTTCGGCGGACTCATCTACAGTCGCGAAAATATAAATAGGGAATAGACATTTTAGCATACAAATTCTCAATAACACATACAAATTAAGCATAAAAAAGTTAATTATTACATCTTGTTGCGTGCTTTCAATTACTTGCGGTTATTGGCAAATTGGAAAAGCGACATCGATGCAGCTATATATTTCGCTTCATCGCCGCCATTCTCATTGATGAACTTTTCTGAAAAAAAATTAATACATTTTTAATTGAATGTTAAACTAAGAAAGGATAAGGGGAACTCATCATTTGAAGACTCGAATGCTGCACCGATTAGCGCAGCGGGTCCTGGATTGGATTTTCTTGTTTTACCGCATTGGTTTTATTTAATTTTTTCTTTTAATAATATATTTTAAAAAACGTAAACACGTCACTTACGATTGAAAAAATTTTATATTTACTACTTGATGCCGTTGGCATTTACATTTCATTTATAAGTTTAAGTTATTTATAAACATTCGCTCTCAAAACTTATTAAAGCTTTATTTGAAAAAACTTTTAATAAGCTTAATATTAAAAATGCTTATTTAACGCTTATTATAGCAAACTTAATTTAAGTTATTTTTAAAAACGTTTACTGAAATGCTTGTTGGGTAGCATTATCGATGTAAGCACGCACGTGTGTGATGCTGAGAGTACATATGTATATAAAAAATTAATCAATTACTTATGGTTTGAAGTTGTTGTGCTTACAATTTCAACTCATTTATTTCGTAGAGCATTAGTCCATTGACTTGTCGCTTAACACTCGCCGCATAAAATGAAGCTCCGAAAATATATGTATTTGTGTAATTTGTTCTATGTATTTGCAGTGGTAAACACTTTAAAAATATTCAAAAGCATCCAGCTTTTAAACAATGCAACTCGTAGCACGCATTCGCTATGAAGAATTGGCAGCGATCCGCATTAATTTTAGAGTATGCGATATGCATACCTACATACATACAAAAGTGGGTTGTCTTCTGAAAAAAAGTTTGTGCAGTGTTTCGGGTTTTGATGATATTTAGAAAATTTTCGATTTTTTTTTAATTGTTTCTAACTGCAAAAAGTTTGACATTCCTATATGGGCGACGGTTAAAGGGACGGTGGGCGAAGGGCAGAGGGCGTGGCACTATTTTAGAGAAAGCTTAAACCGTCATTCACAAAAATGCAGCCGCTGACCACCTAGGCTACCTTTGGGACCCTAGGGAGCCCTTAAAAAATGACCAAAAATTACGATTTTCAAAAGTTACCCCACGGCATCTCTTAGAATGCGATCCGGTTCCGAGAAGAAGGCCAACACACCTGGAAGAATGTGGCCAGAGGCTACGCATATACACTAGCTACCTCCCTCGAAACTGTTTGGATTCATCAGAGCACCAGGGCTGGATGATGTGTTATGATGAGCTCTGAGGGCACAATAGATCCCGAATGGTGGGCTCGCTTCTTCACGTGGCAATACATAACACATCCGGAGTGAGAAAGAGACCTCGGCTACGTACACCAGGTTCACTCAAAAATCGATCCAACGTGAAAAAGGCCGGAACAGAATTCCCTTGCAGATACTGAAAAAAATAGTATTTGTGGGAGTCGTGTAACACCAATTGTAAGCGGGAAAACAAGCGACACGCATTACAAAGATACCACAACGCGTTCGGCAACAGTCTGCCATATCAAATCAATCGAGCACGAAATGCAGATGATAGGCGGTGAAAGAACACAACAATTTGCAATCTATGCAGCTCGTAGTATATAAGGGAGAGAACCACTTCAACAGCACTCAGCATCAGAGTAATCCGCCTCCCCACACGTTGAGTCAAGACTTCCTGGCGCTCCTACGTTAGTCGGGGCTAGGTAGCCGGAACAACTTAGCGATTTTTCTGGCCAAGGACTGTTATAGTTCTATTTTTAGGAAACTTCTATACAACAACAATCAGATTTCCTCGTGAGGGCGAGTTGAGCACTGCTGCCAGAACAACATACTTACATAGAAATGTATATATGTACATTCATCTGTATACATGGACGAAACTAGAGTTATTATTCATTTATTACCAG